TCTTTGTATCTTGGTTTAAACACCTATGTCCCCATCCAACAGTGCATGGATGGGATTTGCCATTACTATATAGCAATATATAAGTGACACTCAGAGAATAGGCATATACTAGGGAAATTACAACAGAAGAAGAGGAAATCATCCTGGTCCATGAAGAACAAGCTCAATTGGTCCCATAGTCCAGAGTGTAATGAATAGCAGACTTACGTATAAGTGTAATCTAAACCACTGTAGATGATGTGAATGATCTAGGATCATGCTAGTTTTATTTTATCTAAATGAATTTTTTTCTCAGATTTACTTTTTGCTTGGCCTCACCTCCTTGGGCCCATGCCAGTTTACAAAGCTGTTTCAATATTTACCAATATTTCTGTATTTGGAATTGATGTTAGTGATGAATGTTGCAGTTCAACAGCTCTTGACAGTTTCAAGACACGGTGTATGTATTTTACCAGCTGCTCTGTAAGATAGGAAAACAGGGAATTACCATTTCCACTTGACAGTTGTGGACTCAGTGCCAAAGAGATTCATTGGTTTGCCTGGATGGGACTTGAGCCCAGACCCTCCGGCCCCAGCCTGGAGCTGTTTCCTTTGATTGCAGGGATCCCTGGGAGCAGTGGTGCTATCATCTCATGGAGGTGACACTGCTTCTCCAGTTCACTCTGTGAGCCTGTCTCCTCCTGTAGGCTGCTGTACCGCTCCATCGACTCCCACACAGAAGACAAGGGCCCCATCTACAACTACCGTGTGGAGATCTCCATCTTCTTCATCATCTACATCATCATCATTGCCTTCTTCATGATGAACATCTTCGTGGGTTTCGTCATTGTCACCTTCCAGGAGCAGGGGGAGCAAGAGTACAAGAACTGTGAGCTGGACAAGAACCAGGTAGCCTTCCGGGAAGGAGAGGAAGAAAGCAGGGCCCACATAAGAAAATGCAGAGGTTGGCTGTCCAAGACCCACTCAGAAGGGAGCCTAGGGTATTTGGAGAGATGTGTGTGGATACCAAGGTTCTCTGTCCTGTCATCCAACAGAACAGGGTGTTGTTCCAAATTCCTGCAGCAGAAATGTGGATCCAGCATTTCTCAGACCCAATAGACATTAAATCCTCACAAATCCCAGGTCTGGACAATGTGCTCAATCAGCAAATATTTGTTAGGCTTCCGCATAGTGACAATTTGTTTCAGGCAACATGGAAAAAAGAAATTTATGTCATATCCAAAAATGTGGAAGTTACTCTATGCCCAGGTGTGTTGGCACCATTGACAAAGGAGAGAATGAGCAATGTGGGAACGCGAGCTTGGGATGGCCAAGAGAAACCACTTAGATGGCTTCTCAAGCAAAACAGAGGTCTGAGCAGGGGTGGGGAGAAGAGAGTCTGAAAAGGGGGTGACATGGTGACACCAAGGTCTAGAATACATTCTGTTAGCTTGCCGGAACGGGCTAGCAGCTCCTCGGTGACTAATGTGCTGTTGGGGTTGGACAGAGGTGTGAAACCTCAGCCCCCTTTGCACTCCCAGTGGAAACATGTTCCGAACAAAGCCAGCTCCTGAGGACACAGGCCCGTCTGCCCAGCTCTGAGCATGGCAGGAAAGCTGGACCCTTTGTGGGCTTAGATATCTGCTACTTAACTTTAGAGTCAGCGACCGGGCTGCTGTGTAGACTTGGTGTGGAAAGGAAGGCAAGGGGGGAAGTCAGTTGGGAAGTGTAGATGAGGGTGTAGAGAGTCTGACCTAACAGCAGTTCTTTGGAGTAAAGATGTAAAAGCAGGAGGTCAGATCGGCAAGGCTTGGGGATTAAACGTGGAGGTCAAGGGTCAAGCAGGCTGGAGTGGCTTTTTACTTCCTGATTTAGAGATTTGGGTGGGCTGCATAGCTATTGCCTGACATTTTCTATATTCCCAAGACTTTAGTTAGAACAAGAGCTCCTCTCTTGACAGTTCTGTGTCTTCTGATCTTATAGATACTGGACAATAAGGAAGAAGGATTTAGGATAGAAAAAATAAATTAGGCAAGAGATAGCCCATGGAGAACCTGGTATAGAACATAACCAATGAGAGCTATGAGCCAATCAGTATTTATCAGGCACCATGCACTTGCTGAGCAATGCACCAGTCATTACCAGTTTTAGAAAAGGAGCTAAGCTCCTTGCTTGCAATCTGGATAAGATTTGATGGACAGAGCCTCTGTCCTTGAGCCTCTGTCCTTGATAAAGGAAGCCAGAAAAATGAAAAGCATGCTTGACATTACATGCCACATCTGTGAGCTAGAGCCTGAGAACACCTTCCCAGGTTGTGGTTTCACATGCATCCTACTTTTTACTGCCACGCACCCTTCATCATCCCTACTCTTCCCTCATGTGCCTTCACTTCTCCTTCTTCCCCTCCAGAGACAGTGTGTGGAATATGCCCTCAAGGCCCGGCCCTTGCGAAGGTACATCCCCAAGAACCAGCACCAGTATAAAGTGTGGTATGTGGTCAACTCTACCTACTTCGAGTATCTGATGTTCGTCCTTATCCTGCTCAACACCATCTGCCTGGCCATGCAGGTCAGTCTGTGGGTGGGGGGCTAGCCTAGGGAAAATGCTGGGGAAGGATGTAGTAGAAGGAACCACGAGGCCAGGTCAAGTGGTCATCTGCCTGCAGCTGGGAAAGTGAGAGAGACAGAAGAGTGAGCGAAAGTCAGGTGTCCCTTCTCAGGGATGAGGCTCCTCTGAGACCTTATGGAAGAATCCCTGGGGCCCTGGATTGATAACAGAATAGAGGAGGTAGAGAACCAAGAGAGTAAGCCTGGAGTCATCATCATAAGGCATGGGGTATACCCCTACCTACAAGGAAGTCAGTTTGTGCCAAGGTTCTCAAGTACCAGAAACATCCAGAAGTCATCATGCCCAATCATCAGGAACTCAGATCTCTGCCACCCCAGTTATCAGAGATGGGAGGAAAGGCAAGGGCTTGCAGTATCTTCAGAGTCCACCTGCCTGCCCAAGGCACGATGGGCAGCCTTCTGAGGATGGCTCAGGGAGGATCCCTGTAGACATGGGGGCTGGACATGTAGACATGAGAAAGTTGGACAAAGGTGATAAAGAGCCAGAGGACTTCAGCCTCATGTTCATGGTCTTCCCCTTCCCTCCCTCCACTTAGCATTATGGCCAGAGCTGCCTCTTCAAAATTGCCATGAATATACTCAACATGCTTTTCACTGGCCTCTTCACGGTGGAAATGATCCTGAAGCTCATTGCCTTCAAACCCAAGGTAGGTCTCTGAGAAAAAGCTGTTTGACGGGATGGGGGTGGGTATGCGTCCACAGGACGAGGGATGCGAAGGGAGAACTTGGCAATAAAGGGCCATCCCTTCTCTGAAGAGTGCTCTAAAATCTACACTGGCCAAGAGGTGAACCAGGCCAACTCCTTGAAACATAACCTTACCTCGCAGTCTTGTCCATGACTGGGATGATCAGGAAGTAGATTCCTCCATGAGTTGAGCTGTGGTCTTTCCATGAGTTAAGCCACAATCCTTCTCCTCCCATTTCCCACCACCTGGCAAGCCAAACTTCTCCTGGCCCAGCCCCTCAGATCTAGGAAGGTCCCTCTCCATTGCATGTTACATGCAGAACAATTGATTGTGAGAAGTCCAGGCTGAGCTATGTTTGCTCAGGGCCCAGCACTCCATGCCATGGACACATACTCAGAGACATTGCCGTTACCCACTTTGTCCGCCAGCACAGGAAGAGCAGGTGCCTGCAGATTTCCCTACGTCACTTCTTGCAAACAGCACCTCGTCAAAAAGAAGGGGCTAGCAGTGTCTGAATGAGGTGGAGCTGACAAAGCTGACTGCCTGTCACTCTTCCTCACCAGCCTTGACCACTGTCCCAGGCGACACCAGAGCAGGCTGGTAGAATTAGTGCCCACTACAGTCCTTGACCTTCATAGAAGGCCAGAATCTCTGATACTCACTGGCCTGTGAGTGACAGCTACTTCAGAGGCAGCTGTAACAACCCGTCAGGAGCTACTGTGGCTGCCCCAACGTTTTCTTGGAGAGTGGTGAAAAGGACATGGCTGGAGAATCACACTTAGAGATTTGAAACATTCACCAGTTTTCCAAGCTTCCTCTCCACCTCCTTCACCAGCTTCACCAGATGTAACACAGGATAGCAGAGGGCAGGAAGACAAGTCTCCAGCTCTATCATGTTTAAATTTTGGCAACAAGTCCAGAAACAACTACACAGTTATTAAGGGAAGGAGCTGGTGTGTTCTCTGCTACATGGAGCTGTTCACAGTGGTGCTTTCTTGGCATGGGCTCTGCTGGATACTTTTCAGAAAGATAGAGACAACCTTTGGGTCATTTAGAGATAGACCATACAGTATTCATAAGTACTGCTTCTTCCTTTCAACCACAGGACACCTAGGGATCTTGAATACTTTTCAAAGACTTCCCATGAGCCTCATTTGGTGCAACCATAATAATGGTGTTTCCCTACCTCCAAGAAGAAAATATGTTCTTTGTCATATTTCTTTCCAAGTTCAGACCCATTAAGGGATAATTTGTGGCCTGGCCTGGAAAAGACCACCAAGTTGTTGTGGCTACCTTCTATGGGGCCCACAAGCATTGCCACCCACATGTTGCCCTATTCCAGATTCCATGCCTTAGAATACAGAAGCGTCACCCACATTCTCCTGAGCCAGGCCAGGAGAGCAGGGCCGCTGGGCTTCACCCTCAGTTTTCAACCTCTCAGGAAGCTGACATCACTTTCACCTCATGTCATGAAACACATGGCTTAAATATTTGGTCTTCAATCATCCCACAGTGGACAGATATGATCCTGGTGTGTGAGGCAATCTCCAGAGCTTGTCATGAACTTTTTGAATCATGTTTCTCTAGCATCAAGCCATGTGCCCTGAGAAGCCCATTAGATTGACATCTTCAGGGGCCTTGGCCTGAAACACACATTTGGTATATCCTACATATGAAAAGTCATGAGACATAACCAACTGGGGTGGCCTAAACCATAAAGAGTTTCCTATTTTCTTCAATACCTGGTGTTCAATAATGAGAAGACAGGGTAAAATATGAAAACTTTTCCTGGGTGCAGAAGAGAGGCATCTTACACAGCAAGAGTCGGTCTTTAACTTCAGAGGACAGCAAGGGGTTCTCTTCTGTTAATTCCTCAAAAGGGACCCCTGACAGTGGAGAAGTAAAGACTATTAGTGTGGGTGACCAAAGACAGTTGACTAGTTAATTGAGAAGAAGATGCAGGAGAGCCTGGTCCCTCTACACCCTCGTTAACTCTATTCTTCACTGATAAACAGACTAGAAAATGTGCCCTTGAGTTTTTAGGCAGAAACCCTCATTAACTCTGGTAGAAATATCTACGTAGAGTTTGCCCAAGAACAATGGAGTAGCTTCTGACAGACCTGGAATACCAATGGCTTCTGGACTTTGATTTTCACCAGCTGCTCATGTATGGTACGAGTCCCCTGTGAAAGGATAGTTAGCAAGAATGTGAAAGGTGGATGTGTTAGTCATCCTGGCATTATAATTATAAAATCACCAGAGCAACTAACATAGTTTTGAAGGTTTGAGTGCAAGATGCTTCCATCAACACATTCCAGGGAGGGTGGTAGGTGGTGGCATGTCATAGCAGGGTTGTGTAGAGGAGCAGTTCAGTCACATCTGTAACCTGGAATCAGAGCAAGAATGCGGGCTGGAATCCTACAATCCTCAAAGAGCGGGCCCTCAGTGACCTCCCTTCCCTTCCCCTCCCCTCCCCCTTCCCCCCTTCCTCTTCCTTCCTTCCACCCACTAGGCTCCATTTTCTGAAAGTCCACATCTTCTCCCAGTAGCACCACTGTGGGGAGCAAGCTGTTAACACATGGTCCTTTGCTCAACACTTAGCATCCAAACCACAGCAGTTGGCACCACCCATAGTCAGGGCAGTCTCATCTGGAGGTGTCCCTGATTGAGCTTGCCTTGCCATATCCTCCTCATATCTGATTGGTTGGTGGGTTGATCTATCAGTTTGGCTCTGTTTCTTTCTTCCATTGTCACTACAGTGATTGATGCTTGGATTCTTTTCCTCCATATCTGTTTTCCTCACTACTCACTGTAAAATAAGTTTACTCAAGAAAAATCTCTGCCTTGAATTCAACTTCCCAACTTCCTAAATCCATACTTCATTCATACAAAAAAAAATTCACAGAAATATGAGATGTTGATCTAAACAAGTTTAAAGACCTCTGTCTCTCAGACAACCTGGAGAATGCAAAGGTGATCTGTGGAAAAGGATACGTGAATGCCAAAGGAGTTCTGTCCTTACATGTAGGGAAAACATGCTAAAGAGACCTGGATGATACTTGGTTCTGCATGGATATGCAGATGCAAGTTGGGGGAAAGGTTTGGTTGAAGTGTTCAAAGGGTGACTAAATAGTCGTTTAATTGTATGATAGATTATATTTCTATCGTGACCTGAAATATGTCAATAATTACAAAAAAATTAAGAAAACTTTTATGATAGGTGCTTAAAATGTCCAGTGTCTAAAAATAAATATAACAAAAAGAAAAGTAAAAAGTTATAGCAAGGATTAAAGAGAAACTAATAACTGAAGAAATGAATTCCTATACTGGAAAACTCTCCATTGATAAAACATTATTTCCTCTCAACTCGATCTATAGATCCAGCACAATCCCAATTAAAATCCTTAACGAACCCTACCCCAGCCAGAAAAGCAGAAGGGAGGGAGCCACACAGCAGACTCCATGGAGTTAGTAGGAGAAGTCTTGGAGTTCAAGGTTTCTGCTCTGGTCGGCAGCTCTGATCTGAATGGGCAGGGCAGCTCAGTGCCTGGTGAGGAGTGGTGTGGCCACAGACATTCCGCTCTCAGCAAGAGGACTGAGTGCCAGATAATGTCGTCACTTAAATGCCTCGGCTTTGCTGCTGACGAAGGTTCAGCAAGAACAACTAAATGAAGACTTGGGTCGATGAGCCTCCAGCACAGTAGTAGGTCCAGAACATCAGGGGCGTCCCAGTGAAAGGGCTTTAACCTCTCTGCTTCATAGGGTTCCCAATAGGACTGAAACTCACTTTACCCTCCATAACTAGAGAATCCCTGTGGGAGCTGCTGTCTTCTGGAAAGCCCCTGAAGCACCGAGTAGGGGACTTGGGACTAGTGTGTTGATTCCTTAGTAGGGACTAGCCTGGTGTAGGCTCGGGGGATGAGCTGTCCGCTAGAGCCTACTGGAAACACAGCAGCATGGAGCAGTGTCCGCACGGTGCTGACATCACCTGATGGTGAATCAGCTGTGAGGATGAAGACAAGGAATGAAAGAAGGCTCAAAGTTTCCTGCCGGTCCCTCAGGGAATGGACCGAAGCTACAATTCATTGAAATTGAGGACAGTGGGGAGAAGCCAGCCTGAAGGGGATCTGGAGAGGTATTGGGTTTTTAAAGCTGTTAAAATCTGGAGCAGGCAGTCTGGGCAAGAGATCTATTTTAAGAGTCGGTACTACATATGGCCCTCCTAAGTAGAAATTCCAAGAGAGCTGTCCCGGAGCCTCCTCGTCCCAGAATGAGCTAACAGGTGCAGCTCTGGGGAGAAGGAAGAAGTGAATGGAGGTCTGGAGGCTAAGAGCTGGGATGGCCCAGACAGGAGATCAAGAAGAACCAACATTTCTCAGGCTAAGGTGCTGTGTGAGTGAAGCCAGCCACAGAGAAGAAAGGCAGGATGAACAGAGAGCCTGGAGGCTGCCCTGCTTGTCCAGGGAAGCAGGAGGGGAGCCTTGATGTACTAGCCCCCCTCAGTGAGTGGTGCTGAGGACTGTATTTCTTCAAAGCCACACTGATCTGGAAACTTTAATTTAAACAACTTCAGGAGTAGGTAAAAATATTGTCTCTTAAAACTTGTATGGGAACTTAGCCATCTTTTTTTTTTTTTAGGCTAATGACCTTGAATCATTTCTAGACCAACAAGCCCCCATTTCATAAATATTCTGTAATGTCTTTTTAATTCCCATACATTCACACCTATACATAAAATGTCCGAAGTCTCTTAGCCATAATGTAAGTGGAAAAGGTTGCGTATGGTAAAAGATTCAGTCCTCACCAAAGTTGAAGACAGCAGAAGAGCAAATATGGGACCTTAGAATAAAAGCTGAAGTTGCCACAGGGCCAGTTTTATTCGTGCACAGTGCCTACACGCGTGTCCCTCAGAAGTCAGTCCTGTGGCTGCGTCACTCTTAAGGCCCAGCTGTCCCACACAGCAGGATATTTGGTGTCCCTGTTCCCACCCACTAAATCCAAAAGGCTGGCTTTGGCTTCCAGGACCCAGTCTGTAGCTCTCCCCAGTTCCACAGTGCCCCCTGGAGGCCAATGCGTGGGACAAAGCAAGGCAGGACTTCTTACGGCCTCTTCACTGAATTTAGTTGAAATCTGTTCGCCCTAGCTGCTAAGAATCACAGTGTCTTTGGCTGTCCGTGGAACCCATGGGCCCACAGACTCGCCACACATGTCACCTGAAGAAATGGAAACAGAAAAGTGGAGGAGGGAGGGAGGGAGGGAGGGTACTGCGTATGACATGCCACCACCCTTGCACTCCTCTGACCTCCTTAGGAGAGCCCAGGGACCTGTGGGTGGACAGCCAGCCCCTGCCTGCTTTTTAGCGGCTGATTGGTAAGCAGGCATTCCCCTGATTATTGTTTATTTATGGTGTACCCACGGACACCTGATGTGCACAGTGCCCAGCAGACAGGCACAAATGCGCTCCTCGGAAGGGGCCGCCTCGCCCCAGCTCTTGTACTCAGAGATTTGCATATTGTTGCAACATTGTGACAGGTTTCTTTCCTGCATGGTGCTTTCACCATGAATGATAAAAAATAATTATATGACTTACATAAAGCCTTAGTGTGGGAAGGGAAGTATTAGCTATTACATTTAATTATTTAATGTGGGAAAGTATTCACACTGTGTAAAAGCCCAGTGGGAAAGTACACTGTGGTTCCCTGTCTCTGATCCTGCCACTGGAAAAGAAACCAAACACATGAGGAGAGGGATTCCCAAGACCAGAAGGTGCTAAGGCATGAACTCAGCCCACACAACACAGTGGCCCTGACCGGGTGGCCACAGAACACCGGATCCTCACGGGCAGGAAGGGCCTTCTAGGATGCAGGAGGCACCAGGAAGAGACAATAATGACAGCATCTGTGGGCACTGAGCACTTCCTCAGAGCCAGACCTGGGAGCTGCTTCCCATGCCTGACGTCCCACGAACCTCACACAGCCGCAGAGGCATGCGCAGTTGTGATAGCCACGCCCCACGGGAGGAAGCCGGGCCACAGAGAGACTGGACAGCTTACTCACAGCTCTCAGGACTCATCTCTGAGAGTGAGAGCGACCCACCATTTCATTTGTGTATTATCACAAAGGTGGTGCAGGGGGCTGAATCCAATGACCTCTGTTGAATCATACCTGTGAACTCAGGCACCCATGGGGCCTGGGGTCAAGGGGTGATAGTAGAGGTGGGGGCTGAGGAAGGGTATTAAGAAGGAAGGAACGTGTCCTGACTGGATTCCATCACACTGTTTAGAGAGTTGTAGCAGGACCAAGCTCTTCCCCTCTCAGAAAGGGCAGCCTGCCCTTCCCTTTCACACCTCCCCCATTGCTTCCGGGTCCCCTTCTCCATGGACTGTAGGGCAGAGTGCACTTGAACCTGAAGGCATTTGCAATGCCTGGCTCCAGGGTTCCAGCCTCCGGCACCCCTGCTCTGAGAGGAGTCTTTTGTATAAATCTGTTTATTTATTCTAATGTGAGTAGGGAGAAGCAGCTATGGGATCCTCCAGTCTACCCAGGCGCAACTAAGGAAGAACAAACTCCTGAGACCCCAAAAGGGGCTTAACCCATAGCCCCCAATTCTGTCTGCTTCAGGGAACAGACCACCAACTTTAGGGATTAGATTCAGATCTATGGACTCCAGCCTTGCATATTTCTATGCTCCTAGTAGCCCTCATTGTGTGTTAATGAGATGAATGAATGAATGCTTTCAATTTGTTCCGGGGGAACTCCAGAGCAGAAGGTGTCTATGAAAAGCACGCATTCCCAGGTCTATATTCCTCCATCCATCCTGAGAGTACCACTTCACTGTCCCAGTGAGGGCATCTTCGGGGCAAGGACCCAACCCTGGCCTGTTCTTGCCCATTGTCCTACAGTAAGCAGCTTTCTGTGGGAAGCCGTCCAGAGCTTCTGAATTAGCAGACCACAGGATAGGCCTGACGGGGAAGCAGAAATCCTCGCCGCCTCTCAGGCTGTAGGCCATGAGCAGCTGTGTGCTCTGTTATGCCTTCTCCACTAGACGCCACTAATCTCCATGATTAGTTATATCTAAGTGGCACCCTAATGTAATACAATTTATATTATCTCTGCTTGGTGTCAGTTAACCATTGATTCCATGATATTCCATAATATCATCTCTTCACACAGACATAATGAGGCTTTGCCACAGGCACTGCTGTTTCTGGCTGGATTCAGCACCTCTCCCCAATTCGCCACCACGTCTTGACTCTACAACCCAGGACCCAGAAAAATCATTCCTTCTAGGAACTATGTTCAGCCTTCCACTGTGCCTGTCCCCTCCAGACCAACTCACAACCTGCCCTGCTCAGCCTCAGGCCTCACATCTTCCTTCAGACATTTG